AATCTTCTCACAGTAATTTTTACACCAAGATAGTAAAATTCTTTAACTGATTTAAAGCCCATAATACGAGTAATGGCTTTCCTTCTCCTTTTATTAACAAATTTACCAAAAAGAATGACAGATTTGTTAACATTAATACATTGACCAGTCCAACCACAAAAGTCACTAAGAATTCCCTAAATCTCCTTTACCGCCTTCTTATTGGCTTCAGAGAATATAATAACATCGTCTGCATATAATAAGTGTGAAATCCTTGGACCATCTGGACTAATGCTAATCTCAATTGAGCTTTGAGCAAAAGCAATAGAAAGTAGTAGAGATTAAAGAATGAAAAGGAGATGAGACAAGAGACAACCTTGATGGAATCCACTCTTGGCTTTAATACATTATGAAAAGTTACCATTAATAGTTAATGAAAAACTTGAATCTTCAACACACTCCAAAATGATATTGGAGAATTTTCTAGGAAAGCCAAAATATTCCAAAACCTTCGTAAGAGTAGATCAGCACATAGAGTCATATGCTTACTCCATGTCAATTTTGAAAGAGACAAGCCCTTTGGAAGATTTAGAATACCTGAACTTGTGGAACATTTCTTGAGCAACCAACACATGGTCCGAAAGAGATCCACCTTTAATAAACGTCACTTGCTCCTCAAAGATTAGCTTAGGAATAACAGATAGTAATCTATTCAAAATCACCTTAGCCGCTACTTTGTAGACAAAATTACATAAGCTGATAGGCCTATAATTAGAGGGAACCAAGCTCACCTTAGGAATGAGAACAATTAAGGTATCTTTCCAAACTTTGTCCAACTCACTATGACAAAGAAAATGCTTGATAGCATTCTAAAAATCACCTTTGATAATGTTTCAATAAGCTTTGATAAAAGAATAGAAGATACCATCATATCTGGGAGCAATACTTCCACCAATTTGTTTCAAAACCAGCTCCACGTCCTCCACGAAAAATCCCTATTCAACAGACATTTGTCAAAATCGTTCAAGCAATTCAATGACATTAGCCACCCATCCAAGTCACAGCTTCTCTGTTTCCATTTTTGGTTGAAGAACCGAAAGAAAACATCCTCTATTTGTTTTTGCTCTTCCATCATTACACCATTCTCATCTTTTATTTTAACAATACTATTTGAATTCCTCCTTGCACTAGCATAAGAGTGAAAGAACTTTGAGTTGCAATCACCCTCAACCAGCCATTTGACCTTTGCTCTTTATTTCCACCATGCATTCAGTCGAGCCATAGTTGAGTTCAGTTCATTCACTTTAGCTTTGAGAATCCAACATTCCTCTTCCGAAAGAAACTCAGCATCTGATTCCTTGATTTGAAGCTTCAGAATATCTTCCAATAAACTATCTTTTAAATGGTTCAAATTCTTGAGTTTGGCTTTACTCTAGTAGAACAGAGATTTCAAAGCTATTTTAAACTTGATATTAAGAATATGAGAATAGCTTCCAAAATAAACATTGTTCCACTCTTTCCTTACCATAGCAGAAGAAGCCGGCAATGAGGCCCAAACATCCTCAAACCTAATGATCCTTTTAGTCACCATATTAAATTCAAGGAAGTTTAGTACAATTGGACAATGATCTGAAGCCACTCTATCCAAGTGTCTGACCACCATATGATGGGATGAATTTAAAGCAATTGAGTTAAGGAAACACTTGTCCAATCTTTCAAGAATTCGAGCCCCTCCAATTTTGTTATTGCACCAAATAAACTTGGGGCCGAACCCCAACTCATGAAAGTCATTATTAGAAAAAAAGGCCTTCATCTCCTTAGGTCCTTGGGAAAACAAAAATCTTTTCCCTCCTCTCTTGTCTTCTTTAGAAATCAGAAAATTGAAATCTACTCCCACCACCATAGGAAAATCTGCTGTAGAATGCTTTTCCAACATCTCCCACAGATTCCTTCTTTTATACACATCTTTATTTCCATACGCTGAAGCAATCCTCCATGAACCTTTGTTAATGATTTCTAAATCACCAATAACACATTGACGAGATGACTCAACAAACGAAAAATCAATCAAAATGAGAATTCCATAAAACAAGAATACCTCCAAACAAACATTCTGAAGGCATAAGAAAATACTCCCAACCATCCCCAATAAGCAAATTGACTTATTTTCTATGAATAGAAGACAATTTGGTTTCCACAAAGCCAAAAAAGAAAACACCATACAATTTAACAAACGCTTTAAGGTATAGAGAAACACTTTTCTTCCCAGCTCCTCTACAGTTCCAAAAAGCTATAGAAGACATTATTAAAAAAGAAGGGAAGAAACCCAAGTTATGCCTTTCACCTCCATATCCAATCTTCTGCTCCTAGGATTTGAACTAATCGGGCCAAGGCCTTTTAGTTGTTTTGATTTTTTCTTTTTAACTTGATTGGAGCAACCTTCCTTACTTCCCATACTAGCATCCCCATTCATAGGCATGATTTCCGAGCCTCCAGTATCACCAGACACCTCAAAAGACACCACAACCTCTAGTTTAGACTGAATTATTTCACCTTCTTCAACAACATCAATTAGAGCATTGAACTTATTGTCATTTATAGGAATGCTGCAACGAATAGAAGCTTTACCCATATTAGGTTCGGTCACTTGAATTGACTTAATAAGGTCACCCCGAGAAGGGTTGACATCAGAAGTAACCATGACAGGCTCTAGAACAAGTTTAGCATTAGTAACTTCTTTAGTCTCTTTTTCCTTTGAGATCATCAATTCAAATTTTCTCCACACAGCAACCTCCACCGGATGTTGATTAAACCTTTTAAAGATGGGATTTTTAAACCTCTTTCTTCCACGGTTCACAAGCATCCAAAGACCATAACCTGTTTTGTCAATACAGGCATCTTCTACCAACTTCTCTTGAGTAGCTTCTACCACACCTGGATTATATGGTCTGTCCATCTTCTCGTGTATATTAGGACCAAGTTTGGACTCCACACTATTCTTCACACAATCCTTCTTGATATGTCCAATCATGCCACAATTGAAGCAGAAATTGGGAACTCTTTCATATTATATCTTCTAAAAGAACTTCCCATAACTTCCCTCCACCCAAACACCAAAAGGCAGTTTAGCATCCAACTTAATACGAACACAAATCCTCCCGAACTCTCTTCTTCCCCATTGAAACATGTTCCCATCAATCAAATATGGCTTTCCAACCATAAATGCAATTCTACAGATATTGATTTCATCCCAACATTGTAACAGAAGGTTAGGCAACCTAATCCAAACAAGAGCCATTAAACCTTTAAGCGAGGTAGGAGAAAAGGTTTGAGATCATCTATCTACTCCAATGATGTGTCCATTAACGAACAAGTTCTGTTAGATAAAACTGATTCCAAATGCTCAGGCTCATAAAAAGAGCAAAGAACCCATCCCATACCAAGCATTGTAAGACGGAACTTGCCAAATTGGGACCACTGTCTTCTTAATTCCGAGCTAATCACCGGTAAAGGAGCTTCTCCTCTAAAAATTTTGATCACCAGAGAGTTCTAAAGTTTTTTAGAGTTATCCAATTTATTTTGAACATGAAGTCTAACAGTCGAGCCATCCTCATATAAGCAATCACCAAAATCCAAGTAAGAGACTTTTTATATTCTCCTTCTTACTCTGCATTTTGTTGAGAAATACTAGAAGGATGAGCTAGGATTGGAGGGAGACCATCAACTCAATCGTCGAGATCTCCAGAATTACAAGTACGCACCTCCATTAGATCCGATAATAAATCTTTCGTCTTCAGTGAAACAGACCTCTTGCACAAATCTTCATCTTTTTTGTCATTCATCTTAACACCTGCAAAAAAATTAAAAAAAAAAATCTTAACACCTGCAACAAGCTCCTCCTTCGAGCGGGCTCCTACCAGAACATCACAATTGGAAACCACTTTATCCGAGACCATACAGCTAGAACATTTATTACCAGAATTAATCATTTCAATCGCCGGTCTCAAAGAAGGAGAGGCAACATCATTCGACTCTCCCTTTGAAATCGGAGTCAATCTAGACTTGAAAAGGATTTTAACATTATCTTCAATAATTACATTTTTTCCTTTACCGATAGCTTAAGGTTCCTTCTTCGACAAACAACCACCTTCATTAATGATTAAAGACATACCAGATTTAGCCTTAGGTTTTGCAACTTGAACAAAGCTTGATTTTCCATTTCCAAAAGCCGGTGGAGACGAAGAGAACGAACGAATCGAAGCAAACGAAGCTCGCGAAGAAGAGCACCGATCATCAAGTGGCCCACCGGCCAAAGGAGGCCGACGACCATCCGCCAACATGAGATAACCGGAATTCCCGCGAAGTTGAAAATTTGAATTAACACAATTCTCAGAATTTCCTCAGACCTTCTCTCTCTAACTTTCTCTCTCTAACTTTCTCCAAAAACACAAGAGGTGTGTTTATATTCATCGAAAACACAAGATGTGTGTGTTTGAGTAAGGTGACATTGTTAGTTTTGGCATTAAATTTTGTTGTAATATTCTTTTATTCTGTTTTTTTGTTTCCATTGTTGGAAACATGCTCATGGTGCTGATCCAATGAAGACAGGATGTAATACTTTGATTACCTCAACGGATTTGGTTTAGTTGTTTTGGTTAAGCACTAACCAGTTTCCCTAGTGGAGTAAATGTTTCAATTCCTTACTGTTTTCCCTTGTGGCTGCGGTAAATTTCCATGAACTTTTAGGTTTTGGTTCGGGCTGGTTCGTGGTTACTCAACTAAAAGAAATAAGAATCAAGCATTACCTTGGTTCGACCTATTTTTAGGTACCGGATCCAAACTATGACTTGATAGAACTAATCCAAATCGTCATTTCGGTATGGGTCAGATTCATTCTTTGATTTTAAGCTATTTTTAACATTTTGTACACACATAGGTAACTTGAATCCCTGATTGATCAGTGATGTTACCTCTTTTTCCTTCTTTATCATATAAATAAATCGGTTCACGATTTCATTGTGGCTGAAAAGCATAGAAGAAAATTCAATAGCTTAATACGAAATCTATCTATCTATTGATTACAAGAAGCAACAAAATTATCTAAAAGTAAGAAAATATGATAAGAGGGAAGAGATATCTTATACCGCAACAAGCTAGCAATCCAACGGCGGGGGGCTTATGAAACCGCGTTCTGCCATGATCTCTACAAGCTCATCATGTTTCCTTAGCTGCCCTGCTCTCCTCAAAAGCTCCTGCACCTTCTCATACACTTGTTTTGTCGGCTTCAAACACTTGTCCTCTAACAATTCCCTCATTAGCTGATAAGATCTCCTCCAACTCCCCCTCTCACAAAATGCAGTTATCAACACCCCATAAGTATTCACATTCGGCTCTACCCCCTCCTTCTCCATCTCCTTCTTCATCTTCAGCACCATGTCCATAGTCTTATCCTTGCTAAAAAGCTGCATTAAAATATTATACGTAACAGTACTCGGCTGGCACTCTATCTCCCGCATTTTCTCATACAACTTATGCGCAGCTTTCACATCCCCCAAGATTAAAACACACTTTAATATATGATTAAATGAGTTTGCATCAGGAGCGCATTCCTTCCCCTTCAAAATCATCGAATTCAGAACCTTTAGAGCAGCATCGAGATTCTTCTGACCTTTACTGCAATGCGCCTCAATAAGAAAGTTGTAGGTAATGCCGTCGGGCTCACAACCAAGCCGCCGCATCTGGTTATGAACTTGCAGTGCTTGCTCTGACCTCCCCGCTCGAACATGAGCTCGCATAAAACAGTTAAAAGTGGCAGCATTTGGCGTGCAGCCGGAGTCGAGCATCTGGCACAGCACTTCCTGAGCTCTAGGAATCTGACCAGCCCTGCACATAGCGTCGATGACCGTAGTGTACGTGTAAACATTTGGTTGAATTCCGGCGTTGCGCATGGCGGCAAACGCTTGCTCAGCTTTCTCGAGACTCCCGGCACGGCACCAGGCGTGGACGAGGTTAGAGTAAATAACGACGTCAGGAGGGAATCGGCTGGAGAAGGAGTCGAAGAGTGATTGCGCCTGAACGGCTAGGCGCTGGCGAGAGAGCGCAGCGAGAAGGAGGGAGAAGGAAATGGGGTCTGGCTCGAGGCCATAGTCCGGCATGCGGTGGAAGGCATTGATGGCTTCGGAGGGGCGGTTGGCGCGGGAGTAGCGGCGGATGAGGGAGGAGAAAGCGGAGAGAGGGATGGGGATAGAGAGTGCATGCATGGAATCGAGGAAGTGCCATGCGAGATCGAAGTGATGGAGCTTGCCAGCGAGATCGATCATGGAGGTGAAGGGCTTGGAGGGAGAAGAAGGGGAGAAGGAGATCCACCAATTGAAGAAGGATAGGATTTGAGGGAAGGGGATACCGTGGCGGAGGGTGGAAAAGCGGCGGATGATGTGGTGGGTGAGGGCAGGGGAAGGGGGAAGGGGGAAGATGGAGGAGAAGGAAGATGAGAGGTCGGGGATGGTGAGATTCGGCGGTGGAGAGGCGGAGGGATCGGGGTTGGGGTGGTTGCGGTGGTGGTCTTTGATGATGAAGTGGAGTTTTTCGAGGAGGTGGGACTCCGCTGGAGAGAGGTCATCGGCGACGGTGGAAGGCGTTGACGGGCCGATGTTTGGTGGGGGATTGGGCGCTTGAGTAGGAGAGGGGGAGGGGGAGGGGGAGGCGGAGAGGCGGCGTAGGAGTAGGAGTGAGGAGGAAGGCCTGGGCCGGAAGTGCAGAGCCATGGAGTGTGATGCACATGATCGTAGGGTTTGGGACATAGGGTTTACCAACAAAAAAACCAAAAAGTATAAGAAATTTACTAACTATATTTGGATAAATTATTTGGTGCGATATGTCTGTACTTTAATTAAAATTAGATATGTGAATACATGCATACAATTTTGTTTTTATGTCTAGTCAGTTCGATCGATCCGGGTAATCCTATATATTTTTACCTTTTAAATGTCGGGGTTTAGGGTTCGCGCATAAAAAATCCCGCAAAAGCTCCCAAATTCAAATATTTAGGACTTCTCAGGCCTGTTCAGAAAAAAAAAAAAAGAAGAACTTTGCAATATTCACGGAGATGGGATGCTAACATGACACAAATGCTGAAAAGAGGTATGGAAACTTTCAGGAATCATAAGTTAATTTGGTTGGAACTGTTGCAAGTTTTAACTTATCGGTAAATTTCTATCTCATCCTAAGTTGTTCTAAGGGTTTCAAAAGTTATGTAGAAATAAGGACTTAAATACTGAGTGTTGAAGAACTTTGCAATATGCTACCTTGTTTTTTTTTTTTTTTTGAATTTCTTAGGTGTTATTGTTTCACTTTCACTACATTTGCAATAACGCTTTCAAAACACATTCATAGAATTTTTGCCTCGCTTTTACTACTCTTTTATTGTGCTTTTACTGCGCTTTTGCTAATCTTTCACCGTAGTAAAAGTGTCGAGAAAATGCAGTAATAGAGCATCAAAAGCACAGAAACAACGTAGAATGTGCCATTTAACTTCACTTTTGCAAAGATTTCACTGCGCTATAATTACTTTTTCACAGCGCTTTTGTTGCGCTTCTGATGCGATTTAACTACTCTTTTGATGTACTATAAATGCACTTTTACTGCATTTTTTTCTTTTTACAGATTGTTTATAAAAATGAGAAAGAAGCATATGATGCTTACTGTTAAGAGAGTTGGAATTTGCATGTTTTACATTATTGCAACTTGTATAGTTTTGATGATTCCAAATATTATTGTTTTATGTGTAGTTATCTCCTAACACTTTTTGGAAGATTTGTTTTTGCTCTTGTGTGTACTAACATTTCAGGAAAATCGAACTCCAAACTATGAAGACTTCAAATCAAATTCAACATACAATCCTTTGTAAATTGAAGTTTTAAATTGTTCTTTAAATTGAGAGGGAGTAATTATAATTGAGTGAATAAAAACACACACATACACACTTAAGGAGATCTTACAAAATTT